CTAGCGGTAAAGCTCCAGCTTTATTCGATAAAGGGGAGAATCCTAACAGCAACTCGATGTGCATGGAATTCTGCAGATATAAAAGTTACACCTCTTATGCGATCACTCCATGGTATTATACTTCGCTAGAATCCCGTCTACTGTTCTCTGCTCTCTCTTTAGTTGGTGTTAGACGTATTTATTTTTTTTGTGTATGCGTTCAGTGTGGCTACTGAAGAAGGGCCTTTAAGGGAGTGTGAAACAGCTGCCTATAGTCTTGACAGTGCGTGCATTGAAATATATAGTAGTAGTACTATACATAATATATGTCTTTTCTTTTGCTTTCTCTCCGCTTCATCATCGGCTCCAAGCCCTTTCTTCTGCCGGAGTGCAGAAGGAGAGATCTCTCATTGTATGCAGAGCCTTGTCTGTCTTAGCAGTGGTGGTGGTATGCATGTATCTGCATATGCATGCATTATATATATATATATATATATCCGTTTTGAGAGGAGGAGACAGGAGAAAAGGAAGAGAAGAGATTTTTATGTCGGTTGCAGCGGCATTCCTTCTTGGTGCTGCTCCTGCTGCGGTCCCTTCGAGGTTAGTAGATGAAAATTCTTTGCCTTAGTAGGCGTCTTGTACGTAAGGAGAGTAACAACAACTCCCCACAGTGTAATATATATATATACATTATATATAGAAAAGAAGGGTTTATTTGTATGTACACATGAAGGCGCCCTGCACCACTCATTGCAATAAGGGTCGTTGCAGTTGCATCTCGTCGTATTCTGTCTCCTCTCCCCCATCCTGAGGCCCTTTTGCCGCTGTTCGCAGAATGTCTAAAAGGGAGAAGAGGTTACTAATACTGTAAAACTTTGCTCTGCTTGCAGCTCATGGGAGATATCTGGATAGTTTGTTATATGCAATCTAAAACAAACCCCACATGCATGCATGAGATTTACTTCGCGATTGCATGCACTGACAATGATGCAGGTAAATGTCAAACACCATTTTATGCATTAGCAGGGAGCGTACATACAAGTAGAAGAAATATGTACAAGTAAGGCTACACAATTAGATCTACCAGCACAGTATTCCCCTATATTTTCATTTCCATCTGTGTCTAGGTATATTTTAATTGTTTTTAATGGGTATTATGTTAAGCTATGGAACTGTATACAGCAGAGAATCGAGTGCATGCAGGCACCCGGACCATTGATAGAAAATACGCTATTGGGTAAAGTGCATTGTATGCCTTTTGCTTAATTTTTAAATAGCATTAATGGATTAATTTTAATGAAAAGAAAGAGAAAAAATGGGGAAAGTATTGTTCTGCAGAGTCGAGTCGCTTTGAGTGCCTCAGCTGCCAGCCGTTCCTCTCCGCGCTGCGGCTTCCGCTGTTTTATTTCTTGTCTTTCATGCATTATAAACAAATAAAGAGTAATATTTATGGTGCAAATGGTTTTAAATTACTTTTTAAAAACTGTTCTAAGGAAGAAAACACAAAAACGAAGAGCAACAAACGCAATTTTCGCGGTAGAGCGCATGAGTCCGTTGAGGCCCTCCCCCGCGGTGATTGATGTAGAGAAGTATATTAAATGCTGCTTTTTATTGCTGTTTAAATAAATACTTGTTCTTTTTTGTTTGTAGTTTTTTGTTTTCCTGAATAATGGTGGGGGAAAGAAGGCGCAGGGGGAGAGAAGACGGAGCCCTTACGTTGTTTTGGATTTTTCTCGTTTTTTCCTTTAACCAGGTGTACGTGCACTGCGCGAAACAAACTGATGCAAGCAATAGCCCCTCTCAATGGAACATTCAGACGGATTCTTTTATGGTAACTGCTGCCGATACGCAGACGGATATCCCCCGCTACCAACATCCCTATGCTGATTATTTCTCGGGTTCTGGAGTGGAGGCTTCTGCAGCAGCAACATCAGCAGCAGCTGCACCAGCACCAGAACCAGCAGGCAGAATATCTCCTGGTGATGCTGGGGGTGCTGCAAACCGCCAACATCAGAAACCACCGCTCCCGCGAAGTCGGTTCAAGGTCGCAACAGCACTTCTGATAGGTGTGCTGCTGCTGTCAGCTGCTGCTGTGCACCTCTCAGAAGCAAATGAATTTAGTGACAGAATGCCGGAGGATGAGGATGAAGACGCACCAGACGAGGAAGCAGCAGAGGTAGCCGAAGCAATTGCAGCAGCAGAAGCAGCAGAAGCAGCAGAAGCAGCAGAAGCAGTAGCAGCAGCAGAAGCAGCAGCAGCAGCAGAAGCTGCAGCAGCAGCAGAAGCTGCAGCAGCAGCAGAAGCTGCAGCAGCAGCAGAAGCAGCAGCAGCAGCAGAAGCAGCAGCAGCAGCAGCAGCAGCAGAAGCAGCAGCAGCAGCAGCAGCAGCAGCAGCAGCAAAAGCACCAGTATCACCAGAAGCAGCAGCGGAAGCCAAGGCGAAGCTACTAGCATTAGCTGTCCGTTTATCTTCAGCAGAGGAGTTAGCTGCTGTAGTAGGGACAGAGGGAGCACAGAGTGCGCTGCGGCGGCTTCGTGAATGCGTCTTTATTGCTGCAACAGAGGGTGATGCTCTTGAAGGTCGCCATGCTGTACAGCTGGCTGAAGAGGCGTTTGATGCTGTGCATGCGCTGCATGCAGCAGCAATTTCAGAAGCAGCAGACTTACAAACAACATTCGAACGAATCCCTGAGGAAGACTTGCTGGAGAGGGGCGAGGAAATTATTGTAACAGAGACAGCAGCAAAACATCAAGCCAATGCAGATGTAGACGCCTCTATTATTACTCTTCGTTCTATGCAGGACAGTTTACACACCTTATGCTCGCGATTTCGTGCAGCGCATGTACGGCTGCTGCAGCATCCAGTGGTGGAAGATGCAGCAGATTTGGCGCTCTTTGGAGCAGCAGCAGCAGATCTTCAATGCATGCGCAGCAGCAGCATTTCTAGAGGAAGAACGGTTGTAGCAGCTGGAGCGGTTCAGAAGCATCTTGTGTGTTCATTTAAAGCCTTAGAGGTTTCTCCTAGACAAGCTTTTTCTGTATTTACAGAGGGAGATGTAGATCTTGTTAGAGCATATGCATCATTCTTGCAAAAAGAATTAGAAGTTGAGCAGCGGCATCTGCTCTTACAGGCAGCATTAACCTCATTAGCAGCTCGAAGTTCTAAGGTCGCTCCCCCTGCAGCAGCAAACGGTGAAGCAACTTCAGCAGCAGCTGCAGCCCAACCTGCAGCAGCAACTTTAGGAGCAGCTTTAGCAGCAACTGCAGAAGCACCTGCAGGACAACCTGCAGCAGCAACTGCAGCAGCACCTGGTGGGGCAAGTGCAGCAGCAGATACTGGAATAAATGGTGGATTAAGCGCACCTGAATCTGCTGCGAAGGCAGCAGCAGATGCAGCAGCAGATGCTGCTGCTTCTGTAGCAAAAGTAGAGAGAGTGTTAGATCGCGCAGCTTCTGTAGCACAACAATTAGACGAACACAGGTGGTATCTAAACGCAATGAAAGATGGCTTTGATGTAGCTGAAGTGCAGCAAGCAGCAGCAGAAGCAACAGCTATCGAAGCAATAACAGAGCAGCAGATTGGTACCTGTTGGGAGGAGCTTCTATCTTTAAAGATTCCGAGAGAAGATTTAGATTATGCAGGTAAACGCATTGTTAGAAAAGTCTGTGAGAGGACATCAGAAAGGGTAGATCCTATGAAGAGAGAAGTGCGAGAAATGCTGGTGCTTGTAAAACAGATGGCTTCGTTGCGTTCAGCAGCAGCGAAGCAGAGGACTCCAGCAGCAGCAGCAAGAGGAGCAGGAACATATATTAGCAGCAGATTAGGAGATGAATTGCTGGAGGCGGTGATGCTAAGGCTGGGAGACGCAGAAAGTTTTCTAGGTAGAGTAAGTGTAGAGTTAGAGAGAGCAGAAGTAGCAACTACGCGCACAGCAGCGTTTAATTCTCTTCAAGCAGCTTCAACAGATGCAGGAAAGGCTGTATTGGCGTGGAAGTATGTTGTTACTAAAATGAATAGCTATAAGCTGTGTGTACAGCTGGGACAAGAGCTAGAGGACTTAGACACACGAAGGGCCGTTGCTATTCAAAGCTTACATGAACTACTGGGAGGAAATATTGAAGATGATGAACAACAAAGAACAACATCCAAGTGTAATAACGCCCTTAGAGAGGCTAAAGAGGCAGCAACACTCTGGGAGGCTGCATCAGCAACAGCAACATTACGCACACTCGTAGAAAGACTTGAAGATGCTGCTTATGGATTACGGCAAAAATGGGGAAGACGCTTTAGATAAAAACCTTCACCTTGCGCATCTGCGCAGGATATATATCCATCTACTCGCTAGTGTATATGGATAAATAAATTTGTGTGTGTATATATAAAATATATATTTCCCCATATGCATATATGCATATATACATATGCATATACATATATATATATATATTATGTATATATTTATTAGCGCTTTCCTACCTGCCGGGTAGAGGAGAGCTCTCTGTTTTTCAGTCTTGTTTCGAGCAAACTGCAGCAGCAGCTGCAGCTGCTGTTTGCTCGTTCTTCTCTTTCAGGGTAGAGAGGCTCTACTATTCTTTGTTTGTTGTTTGTTTGCTTGCTTTTCTTATGGTGGCCTGACTGGAGGGGCAGCACCAGCGTCAAAGACGAACCCGGAGAGCGCATGCGTTGCGGTGTACATACATACATTCGGGTTTTGTTTTCTGCATGCATGGATGCATGCCCGCATC